AACTTAACATCACGGAGTGTATACTAATTATTATAGATTCGTAGTAAATATTTGTGATCGGCTTTGAAGTAATGTTACGATCGGTTTTTGACGTAATCAGTTGTGAGTTAAACATAGTTCTCTTTCATGCTATTAACATTCCATTACATTGTGAAGGGACCGCTAACCGCAAGTAGTACTTACGAAGATACGGTACGAAGCAAGTAATTTTTACACATGCATGACTTAACAAAGCTGAAAATGTAGTAATATAATATACCCGTTTGGGGATGTGTAATCTCTTGCGTGAGAGTATGGTACAGAAGATAAAGACTATTTCACACGTTTGTAAGAAGTAAAAAAAATTAACTACGAATGTACCTATACGAATTTGTTTTTTGTGTTCAAAGTAATTAAGTCGATACCTTAATCCGATTATTCTCGTGATATTAATTGAATACAGAGTCTATAGACATAGCAACGTGGACGCCGTTACTAAACTTCGGTCATCGTCGTGGCCTAAAGGATAAGACGTCCGGTGCATTCGTATCTAGCGATGCACCGGTGTTCGGATCCCGCAGGCGGGTACCAATTTTTCTAATGAAATACGTACTTAACAAAATGTTCACGATTGACTTCCACGGTGAAGGAATAACATCGTGTAATAAAAATCAAAACCCGCAAAATTATAATTTGCGTAATTACTGGTGGTAGGACCTCTTGTGAGTCCGCACAGGTAGGTACCACCGCCCCGCCTATTTCTGCCGTGAAGCAATAATGCGTTTCGGTTTGAAGGGCGGGGCAGCCGTTGTAACTATACTGAGATCTTAGAACTTATATCTCAAGGTGTGTGGCGCATTTACGCTGTAGATGTCTATGGGCTCCAGTAACCACTTAACACCAGATGGGCTGTGAGCTCGTCCACACATCTAAGCAATAAAAAAAATAAAAACTTAATATGTGACGTCAGAGTCTATTTACACCGGAACGCATTACTTTTTCAGGGCAGAAATAATCGGTATACTTGCCCATCTTACCCATCCAGACAGACGATCTCTGTAAGCGCCACACCAAAAGCACTATCTTATATACTTCCTAATATAATATGTCTAGTGACTTAATGCAATGAAACAACAACATAATTAATTTAAATTATTATTAATAACATTATAATATTTACGATTAATGTCAAAACATCATAGCCAAAGCATTGCATTATCACAAAAACGAATTATTTGAATAGATCGGTTACGAAAACAATGTGGCAATTATGTAGACAATTGATAAGGAAATTGCGAAACGCAGTTGTTAGTTTTACTTCTAAATACACTCCACTAAATGTCGAGACATTAGGAATTCGGATATAGGTGCCGACGGGGTCATCAGTCATACGAAAACACAATTACGCCATTACGTGGGCTCTTCCGCTACTCGGCTTCGACGGAAATTGTCGGCACAACCTTTGGGGGGATATGCTCCAGCGAATTTGCCCTGATAATGTCACTGAATTCAAATCAAAACAGACAGCCACGCATTAACGCGTCATAAGCACTCAAATGTAAAATGAAAGAATTTTAGAGAACTAAGTTCTATAGAGGTTTTATTATTTGTCTATTTGAAAGTGAAATTTAATAGTTACGAAGACAAATTACCGGTAATTGTACTCTGCTGGATTAATGACTCGTGTAACTAAATAGCTAAAACGCAACTTCCATGCATAATAAGCCATTACGTAGATCTAGAGAAATTATAGGTTGTGTATATCCTAGAAATACCTATAAATCACTAGGCAGTGAGACTCCGAGGCTTTGCTTAATGTCATTGATCCACGTAACTGATCGAAGAGCAAAGGTTATTTAAAATAATCGAATTGGCTGGTGTTTTATTGCGTAGATTAATGAAACCGGTTCTTCATGTGTGCATTAAAACTCGAGTAGGTATTGTCTTTTAAAGGTTTCCTATTGGAATAAGATAAGGGCACTGTTTTAAAATAAAATTAACAGTGTAGCCGTCCCCGAAATGTGTACGCAATAATGTGGGTGTTTTTAGTTGTAAAATAAATTGTTTTGTGGTGGCCTCGGGCAGTGTTCAAACGATACCAATATCCGGCCGGCTTTATATTGTTGACCCTTCAATACAAAACATAAAACCAACTCAATTATAAACAATCAATCAATTGCTCATTATTTTAGCAATTTCAGAAATAATTGTCTAACGTCCAATTTAGGAAAATGTGTTATTTATTACTAGGCTCTACAAAATCTATTGCATGCTTTCCTAATTTATTTTATACTCAACTATGGCTACTACTATGGCTATGGGAAACTATGGCATCGACATAGGCAATGAGATAAATAACCGCTCTATACTAGCCGAAATGTAAGCACATCAGCCCAATGACAGTAAAAATATTAATATTTTAACACCCGAAGAAAATATTTACTAGCTATAAAAATGTGTTATGTCACGATTGACATTTACAATGCTACAAATATGCAAATAAAAAAAAAATCCACAATTGATTTTGTTTGTAGAATAATTAAGCTTACTGCCAAAACAATTTTTAACTAAATGAATGTCTGTATTCAAAGACTATTACGTAAGCAATGAACATTAAATGTAAATTTCAATGAACATTCTAAATTCAAATAAATAGAATTGACCAAATCCAAACTTATCCAACAACATGTTCGTCATCATTCACATACTCAAACGATCGACCACGTGAATTATTAAGAGATATAGACAACAATCATAGATATTTAAGTCAAGATATTTAACTTTTTATCATGGCAAATGACAACAATCGGATACATTTATTATACCAAATACTACATTATGTATTCACTGGTTCGTGATTTTAAATCGACTAGTGGTTTATGGTCCAGAGAATAACAGATATATTTTTCATCGTGTTCCCAAATCCCTAACCTGCTGACTGAGCCTTTGCTTGCCTAGTTGTCCTGGTAAAACTAGAAAGGCCTCTGAGCCAAAAATAATCCTTAATTCCAAAACATAAAACATATTTTTCTCGCGAAATTACAACGTATTCACTTTTTGAATTACAACTTTAAAGTGGATTGAAATGTGCATATACATTTGTTTAGAGTAGTATGTGTATATATCTAGAGAGATATCATAAACAAAAATAAATATTTTTATGTAGCAAAAAGTTAAAGGTAACGACGGTCGGTGACGGTCAGCGGATATGACGGACGCTAACCCTTAGCTTAGGAGCGTGCGCGCACAAAGGTACATTAGTCGAACAACAGGAACTAGCGTGCACGCCCTCAGCTGAGAGCTATGGGCCGCTTGGTTATGATTTATGATCAGTTAATGCAAATCTATAGCTTCGAAGGCAAGACTCGGTTCGTATTTGGCTATCCTGGCTGCAAAAGCCGACCGCCGTACCGATGTTCCTTTTTCTTTCAAACAATTTTTTTGTAGGACGTTATATATAAACATAAAATATATGTATTTTAAAAAAATAGTTTTATACAACAATCAGTCTGCTCCCAAAATATTTTGGTCAATGATAATCTTAGTCACTCAAAGTCGCAGAAACTTCAGTAATGTAAAACGTAAAATTAACGACTTCTTTGTTCTGAGCATTAAAATAAATGTTTTTATATTTCAAGTATATTTATATAGATATTTTAACATCTTCTTTCTCGAATAATATATAAGTGTCTTTCTATCTCCTGTCGATAAGAAGACATAAGTATACGAGTATAACAAAATAATTTAAAAATAATTGTTGAAAATTTGTCACAAACATAATTGTTGATCAATGTTAGCATTATTTTATTTAAGTGACCTGGCGTCCATCGTTCATAAACCTCGCAATACCCGCACACGATGTGCGCAATTTTACGCAAGATTTCTAAAGATTTTAACTTATAATTACTTGTCATCTTAAGGTCAAGTCATAAACTTTAATTGCCCACTTTTAACCTCTTGCTTTCTTGCTCGTCAAGATACCCTGTTAATTTATAATTAAATTAAATCATCAATCTAATTTCTAATTATTTAAACGGTATATTAATAGAAATGAAACCTAAGATTTAATACGGCAGCATAAGGTTTACAGTGCAGTTAGAGAAAGAGATTAATTAAATTAAAACTTATATTAATTAAATTAACCCAACCAAATTAAGAGTTGTCAATTGAAGATGTTAGTATTATTCAAAACCAATATTTTTATGTTCATGTATGTCAACAAAATATTATCTTATAAGAACTTGTAGTATGATGAAAATAGCATATATTTAAAAAAAAAACGTTTTAAAATTTTTTCAATAACATTGACATTAAAATGTAGTGATAACCTTAAGTCATTAATAAAACTCAGAAAAACTAAACTAGTCTTCATGAGTTGAGTTGCTGGATATTAAATAAACAGTTAAGAATTACATTTTGATCGGTTACCGATGATTTCTAATAAATTCAGGCTAAGTTTTGAACTTGCAAGACACCAATATTGTCATCAAGGTCAATGGATCAAACTAGAAGATAAATTAATAAAGATTATGTCTCTTGAAGTCTTGATGGTATTTAATACTTATTTAATTTGATTGACATAATAATAGAATGAAAAAATCAGTAATTCAATGCCAAGAAAACTGTCAAGAATTCGAAATATCCGAAATAATAAAAGCAATTTTAAACCGTAATATCGTCGTTGCAAATTTAAAATCTCCTATGTAACATTTTGGGCCATAATGATGTTTTCATATGATAAGAAAGTTATTTTGAATACCTATTCTCAGCAAAAACTCCCATGTGCATATTATTATCTCAATATTTCTCTTTATTACGCGTCAGTCTTAAAAAATCCTAAGCGTCGGTTTGCATTTTATTGTAGATCAAAGTATCCTATGTGCTAAAAAAATATTCGGTTTTTTTTTTCAGGAGGTCGTTTTATTTTCTCGAAAACTACATTTGTACACATATGAGATTTCAGCTATTCAGGAAAATACTGTTTTAGGTTGATTAATATATTATTAAGTTAAAATTCTTACTGTGATTGTGTCATAGATGCCGTTCTGGTCTGAACGAAGAGTGACGGTCTCCGGGAGCGCCTGTGAGGCAAGCGGAGCGGGCGACGCTCGCGTGGGAGGAGGCGAAAGCGACAAAGGGTCTCCATTTCGTGTCCATGTTCTGTGGATCTGCCAACTAGTGTCCGAGAACCTAGCTCTATCCTGTAAATTAAAAAAAACAATTTGTTATTCCAGATTTATTCATGGTCCAACTTGTACACGTCCTTAATATACTTTGTGGAGGTTTGTCATTTTATGATATTAATACGTACATATTTAATTAGTCCATGTTTTTTTCGAGTTGAGTGATATTTTGAGGAAAAGCAACCCTCAAAATTCATTAGTGTAATGGATTTAATTTGAGACCGTACCTAGTGGTAACTGCTCAAACCGAAACGGGTTCTAAACTCATCTGCATTTCCTTACACGACCACAAAATTTGTATTTGAAGTTTTTCCTAAATGTAATAGACATTACGTTAATGACACTAACAATGGCTAGATTAATAATTGTACAAGTAACAACGTTTGGTCGACATGATCGAGCTATTAACTGTAATATGTGTCAAGGAATAATAACCGTTGCAAATGTAGTTTGTCTTACAAGTGGAATACGTAATTAGTCACACTGTTAACATCTGTATGGTACTTATTTAAAATGAACAACATACTCAGTTTTCAATACTATAGGTCAGTGATTCTCAACCACTGTTCCGCGGCACTTTTTTGTGCCGCGAAATTTCAAAAGTGTGCCGCCAAATTTTGCCAATATATAATGATGTTAATATTATTAAATTATATCAATTTTTTTTTTTTTATTATTAGCTTGTAATTAATCCCTTTTTAAACGTTTAAATATTATTAAAGCATATATTAGTTTATTTCGTATATTTAATGGTTTTTTATAAACGTTTTATGCAGTGTTTTAGAAAGTAAATAGTTTAAATCTTTTTCTTTGTGTGCCGCCAAATTTTAAAATCGTTTAATGTGTGCCGCCAAATTTTAAAATCGTTAAATATGTGCCGCAACAAATAAAAGGTTGAGAATCACTGCTATAGGGCTTCGGAAATCATTGTCCTGTTGTTTACTTCTCACAATTTGCTTTTTATGTGTCTTTTAAATGCATTTTATAGTTCAGTGGTTATGCTAGTCACATATTTAGTGTCACGACATACAACTTAGTTACGCAGGATATTGGCTCATCGAAAAAGGAATGGGCCATGCCGTAGATAACCTGGTGACTTAGTTGCAAATTGAATTGTTTATAACAGTCTACCTACGTAGTATAACTACCGTAAATTAAACCGGTATTTACGCAAATTCGGGTCACGATTTCTTTTTTTTCTTTTTTTTATTGCTTAGATGGGTGGACGAGCTCACAGCCCACCTGGTGTTAAGTGGTTACTGGAGCCCATAGACATCCACAATATAAATGCGCCACCCACCTTGAGATATAAGTTCTAAGGTCTCAGGTACAGTTACAACGGCTGCCCCGCCCTTCAAACCGAAACGCATTACTGCTTCACGGCTGAAATAGGCAGGGTGGTGGTACCCATCCGTGCGGACTCACAAGAGGTCCTACCACCAGTAATTACGGAAATTATAAATTTTGCGGGTTTGATTTTTATTACACGATGTTATTCCTTCACCTTGGTAGTCAATCGTGAACATTTGTTGAGTACCTATACCTACGTGAACCTTGTAGATTTCAATTTGTGCGGAGAGAATCTGATTAATGTAGTAAACGTACGAGATCGTATCAAATTTCGAGGTGAAATTGATTTATGATTGGTTTGATAGCTTTGTGGCCCACGCATTTATTTGGAATGAAATCGCTCAAAATGTTTCAATTTACGGACATAACAATTTACTTTTAATAAAAATATATGCACCGTACAATATCTAGAGTCATTTTAGGAGTTATTAAATTGTAAGATAATGTTAAAAATTGCTTTGTATATTTATTCAACGAATATATTTTTTACTTTGCATGCAATGTACACAATTAAGGATGACATAACGCGCGAGATATCTGGCAACCACTGTCGCTTTAGATTTCTGATTCATAACACAATAATATGAATCTAGTTACAGCTAATGAATATTCTTTTCTGTTTAATTTGAGAATGTTGGTTTTTAACGTCACCCTAGCTAGTATTCAAAATTTACCATTTCAGCTAGGACAATTGAAGAGATCAATGGATAAAGGGGTTAAGTACTATTTTTAAGATTTTTTATTTTTTACATTGAATGAAGGTGTTATGCGCCTATAAACCATATTAGACCTTAAAACTCCAGGCTTAAAGTCTATTTTTAGAAAGTGCATGTGATGAAGGAGTTATGTACGAAGAAAAGTACAAGTAACAAAAGCTTGTTGCCCGTTTTCTCAAAATTAACAAATTGTACTATATCCCCTTCATCCACTCATGTCTTCAATTGTCCCCTATTGTATGGATATGTATGTACATACATACATGTTTTGTATACTACATTTGTATGTAGTATACAATATGTATACATTTGTTTGATCTGTCTATCAAATACAAACTTTTCAGAAATTTCTATTCAAATAGATTCAAATTCTATCAAATAATCTAAATCACATCTAATCTACTAAACAATCTTTCTAATAAGAAACAACATCTAAATAGATTGGAAATTTTAGTTCTAAAAACTTGTACCCATTACCCGTTACATATATTTTAAGAAAAATTTCATTGCGTTTTCAAGTTCCTCTTTTTCTATTTACAAAACAACTTTTAATTTGACTCGTAACATATTTACTTTACCAAACTACTTAAATCTTATTAGGCAAGTGGAAGCAGACAAGGATGCTAAACTCTTCAATGTTTGCACATTACATCAACTATTTGGCTTTCGGTTCGACAGTCGATTTCGTAATACGCTCTAGATTGTATTAAAATAGCATAGTGGGTAAGCTAACCGATAGATAAGATAACAAATATCCCACGTGGTTGTTTGTGTATCAAAGGTATTGCAGCATGCAAAGTAAGTAGATAAAATTTAATTATTTTTAATAATAAGTTTATGTTTTTATTGCTTAGATCGATGAAAGTGTTACGTAAAAATCACAATGCTATTTCTCTTGCCCACCTTGAAGCTCGAGGTCTATGTTTGAATTGTATAGTACGTAATATATATTATTTGCAGATTTGATTTTTATTACACAGCGTTATTCGTTTATCGTGGAATAATTTTTTAAAAATAAGTTAAATTTCTATTTTATTACGAGAAAATAGTAGCTGCCAGCGGGATTTGAATATCGACATAATATATTCGCTCGATGCTAGTCTTAATTAACCTTTAGGCCATGATGATTTCAAAATTTAAAACCCCGTTAATTTATTTTTGAAACTTTGCAATAAATATATTTACATACATTTGTATATGCGACCAAGTGTAACTATTTATTTTATTTCGTATGACGGCCACTGTATTTCTCAAATGAGTTTTGTTATAAAGTGTTATTGCTTCTTAACACTATAAAGTGTTATTCAGTGATCATGTTGAAACTAATGTATTTAATTAGAAAAAATTAAAACCCGCTCCGTTGCACATGAGCCTCCATGTCAGTTGATAAGAATACACTGTGAGCATTAATTACATATCATGGGCGCCTCAAAAAATGCTACTTCATATCATAACTAATGTAAACATGTCGCTTTGCTTCATTGCTTCTAAATTTTACGATGTTTTAATTAATTGAATTCGATATGACGAAATAGAATTTTCTGTTAATCAGTGTAGACGGTGAGTTAATCTGGTGAGTCTACGTAAAAATATAACCAAATAAATATTTCCATATTTCATACACAAAAATAGTCGGGATATTGTCAATCAAGCTTTTAATGAAAAGACACATAAATAAACCCCCTATCTTGAGTACTAGGGAATGTTGCAAGCTCCCATGGATAGGTAACAAACACCATTCTGCCTATTTCTGTAGCAAATACATTATATGTTAAGACTTCTGTAACAAAGCATTATATGGTAAGACTTAGAACTCTTGTCTCGAGGTGGATGGTGGAATTGATGTTGTGGATGTCTATGGGCTCCGGTAACCACTTTGTTAAGTGGGATAGTGGGCCGTGAGCTCGTCCATCCACCTAGGCAATAAAAAAAGGACTAGAGTTAATTTTCTACATATAAAAATAAACATTTATATAGAATACATACTTATATGTGAAATGCAATGCAGTGGAATGTAAATGCAATATCAGGTAATAAAGTATTTCCGTTTTGTTTCCAAGTCGCTACGAACAACTAACTAAACTCTATTATACTCGCTTGAAGAAAATGATTATCTTATAATAAAAATTCATAATTTTAGGCATATTAATCAGTAATCGATATTTAATAAAACAAAAACGTTTCGTGGTCCGGTTTCCAAGTCAATGACATTAATTTCAATTGAGATAAACGGAAAACACAATGCGCGAGCAAGCATATGATCAATTGAGCACTTATAACTTTCACTTATAAAATTAGGTTGTAGACAAAAAAACGAGTCATGTGTTTGTTAATACGGGACACAATAGAGAGCGGGCACGGGTGCGCGTCGTTGGATAAGATATGCTTACTGCTGCGTTGCTATTTTCAATTAGGGTTGCCACGGGTTTTTTTTGTAATAAGCTGGGCAGGCGATCCCACTTTCCATCCCATGTTTAGCAGTTAACAAAGGCCACTAAAATCAGATCGTATAATACCCTTACTTAATTAAAAAAATTAACAAGAAAACTCCAAAAACCCGCTTGGATTTATATTAATTCTACAGCCAAGTGGATACGTGGCCCATATTATCTTTAAAATTGCATTGCAAAAACTCTGCTCCGGTGATGGATGGAGTGATAATAAAAAAGAAAAGACGATTTCATCTCAATAAAACTTGTCAAAAGCTCACATGAGAATGTAATTATTGTTTTTGTTTTACGGGTGCATTAGTATTTTGCTCTCTGTTAATAAAAAAAATGTATCGTTTCATTAATTTATTATTTAAGAGCATTATATTATGTCGATGTATAGCAATAGATTATTCATAAAAAAATTTAAGAAATAAACAAATAGACCTGATGAGGGCCTAACAAATAAAAAGTTTGCACCAATTCAATTATTTTTTATTAATTATATTATTAGTTATGAAAG